AGCCAAGATGACCAAACTGAGGCTGTCGTACTTTTGGACACATCATGAAAAGGGAGGACTCTTTGGAAAAAACAATAATGATGGGAAAGGTGGAGGGAAGTAGGAAGAGAGGAAGGCCACATGCTAGATGGATGGACTATTAAGGAGGTCACTGGTATGGGATTGCAAGAATTAAGTAGAGCGGTGAAGGACAGAGGGTCTTGGAGATTTCTCATTCATAGGGCCACCATGTGTCGAGATCAACTCGAGGGCAGTTAACAAGAAAAGGTTGATCTTAGGGTTGTCATAAGTCAGCCATGACTTGAAGACGCACAATAACAAATTCCATATGTTCTTTGTTTGTATGAAGGATAACTGCAATCTTTTATTTAGCCACTAGGCAGCAACATTTTTTTCTACATTTGACTGAGCTGAAAGTTTCTTGTATTGTCTCTTTTCTGTTGCTATGTAGAGACAGTGAAATATATACACACTACAATTGTCTCATGGTGAATCTAGTAGCAAAAGCTGTGTTGGAGCTGTTGGTAGCTGCTAAAAGGAAATCATAAACGATAGGATGCCATGTTGGTCACATTATCCTGCTTCCAGGGACAAAGGTTAAGATAGCAAGACCTGAAGGAGTGACATATAGGTGAGGGGAAAGGATTGCTGATCCCCAACACACTTATATAGACACACAAACACATACACACACTTCTTCCAGAAGAGCTTACAACACACACACATTTTTCCTCAACAATGTACTTATGATATTTCTACAAAAAAAAAGTTCTTCCCTTTTATTAAGAATGAATAGCATTGAGTGAATAATATTTAAAAAGTTCCAGTCCCTACTTAATACAAGGCTGAAGAATCTCCAGATAACTGTGTATCATTTTTGACATGGTAAAATACTGCAAGACCTGAGGGAAGTTGCTGACAGCAAAGTCTGTCAATCTTCATACTTTCCTGTTCAGAGACTCCCAAGGCCCAAGTGTGAGCAATTAGCATTGCTAACTTTTTAGAAAGTTGTTAAAATGGGGGGCAGTCAGGATTATCCATTTACTACAAATAGTCTAATATGATATCCTTATTCCAATGAAGTACTGCTCTCTCTCTATCCTTTAAATCTAAATTTTCTATATTCAAAGAAAATTGATAGTGATAACTCAGAACAAAAATTCTGGATTTTTGAAACAGATAACTTTAGTTCTGATCTGCTGAGGAGACTTGCAAGTTGAACAAACCAGCATAAAGACAAGCCTGAGGAAGGGGGGGGGGGTGCCAACCACATGCCAGCTGCCCTGGCTTTGTCGTCACACTGACTTCACACAGCGCATGCCACCACATGGTGGGAGGTGTCAGGGCACTCCACACACGCTGCACCAAAGGAGTGCAAAAAAGCTGCTGCAGTAGTGGCAAGGACGCCCTTTCTATGGCTCAAAAAAGAGCCGTTTTTGTGGTTTCTTTTTGCATTGTGGAAAGGTCAGATCAGGACTGTGGCATGCAGTTACCATGGCCCCAATCCAGCAAGGAAAGGGGCAGTCTGTTCAGACCATCAGTCAGTTATTAATTATTTTAGGCCATTTGGTAAACTTAACATTAAAACTTGTAAATCCGTACCAATGGTGTATCACTGTATTGATACTAAAGACTTGTCACAGTCCTGACTATCCTGTTGATGTACAGTCATCTTTAAGATATTAAATTAAGAGTGTACTAAAGAAGATCTGTTCTGTAGATTTGCTTGTTACTATTTTCAGACACTTCTTCATCCATGTCACTCGCTGTCAATCATAACTGAAGATCATCATCCAAGCTAAGGCCAGTAAAAAAATTCTGGGACAGCACAGCACTAAATAAAAGTCACTGATTAAGCCCTCTCATAAAGACAAACCTGACAGAATTGTAGACTCAATGAGCTTGGAGACCCTGCCATGTCATCTTGTCTAACAAGGAGAAGTGACAAGACTTTAAGTGTTTCACCACAGCAT